GGTTCTCATTGAAAATGACGTCACGGCTCCGCCTACACTGCGCTACTATAGTTACTGCCCCAGCTACTAAACTGTAATGGAAACGCAGCATAAAGTGAGCCAGTCCTAACAAGGCCTAACGAGGCCTAGCCATACCGAGCGAGGCCGAGCGAGGCCCTGTAGTGGAAATGCGCCATAAGTGTCACTAGTACGGTCAGAGGGCCACTAGTTAATCAAAAAGCTTGAATGTTGGTACTTTGGTGCTACGAGTGCTGCTCCTGGCGTCACTAGTAAGGCTTATGTGGTAACTAGTTGGACAAAAGTGCCACTAGTTGCTGAAAAAGAGTGACTAGTATAATGTTTTATTGAACTAGTAAAGCAGAGTGCCAAACTATGTGACCATATATCTAACAAGTGAAATCAAAGAGCCAACTAGTGCAGGCAGCTGTCTTCTGATATCAAGGATATGGAATCAATCAATCAATCAATGTTTATTTATATAGCCCAATATCACAAATGTTACATTTGTCTCAGTGGACTTCACAGTTTGTACAGAATATCAGTATGACAATACGACACCCTCTGTCCTTAGACCCTCACATNGAGTATGTTCATAATGTCTTTGTGTAATTTTCAGATATGTTATATTTACAAATATAGCATGATAGGTCCACTTTAAAATAAAATCCACATAAAAATACTTTGTAAATATAACATATCTGAAAATTACACAAAGACATTATGAACATACTCTGAAAATATGTAACATTATCTGAATTAAGATGCAAGAGCTCTATAGAAGAAAAATTAAAAACAGTTATAAAAATGATATGAAAAAAAACTACAGATCTGAATACAAGAAAATTACAATAAATGTGAATGCAAATATGTATGTGTAATGTTGCTGTAGAACAAAGATCATAATGGACAATGTTGGAAGTGGAACCATTTCAATGTTGGAGCATGTGAGCCATGTGACCTATGACTTCAAAAACCTCCTGCTTACCCACAAAGGCCTCCATAACCTGGAGTATACCCCCTCTCCCCTCCGCCCATCCTCTGCTCTGCTAGTCATCAGAATCCCTCGCGACACTATAGCTTTTAGCTGCAGTGCTCCCAGACTCTAGAACTCCCTCCTCCCACACATCAGACAGTCTTACACAATCACCACATTCAAATCCCAATTAAAAACCCACCTGTTCAAATCAGCCTACTCACTGTAGTGCTCCCAATAATCTGTTTCCCCTGAATCACTTGTCCCTATCATTTGTGTTCACTTTTGGCGCATTTCCACTACAGGGCCTCGCTCGGTATGGCTAGGCCTCGTTAGGCCTTGTTAGGACTGGCTCACTTTTTGCTGCGTTTCCATTACAGTTTAGTAGCTGGGGCAGTAACTATAGTAACGCAGTGTAGGCAGAGCCATGACGTCATCTTCAATGAGAACCACAGAAAAACAACATCAGCCGTTAGATGTTAGCACTCAAGCTCACAGCTCCTCATATCTGTTCAGAAACTAGACAAAAGTTAAAAAAAAGTACAAACCACTGGTTTATTTATGTCTGTATAGGCCGTTGTTGTGAGTGTGGACGGTCGGGGGAAATAGTGCGTTAGCTTAGCCGATCTCCATTCAGAAAACACGCATTTTAAAAGGTTTTTTGCCTGCCGTCTTGTCTGCAGACTTGTCAAAGCATTAATTCATGGTTTTTACTAACCGGTATCAGTATGATGTTACTTCGGTATCATTTTGAAACGTGTAGTACAATTAAATCACGGTCAAATATTTTCATTTTGTTGTAGTTCTAGCCCCCTTGCCAGTGATTCTCTCTCTAGTTTAGCATACTCAGTTGGCCCGGAAAGAACCTCGATTTTGGAGAGCCAGAAAAACTGTGAAATAGTACCCGCTAGCCGGAACTACGCTAAGTGGAAACGCAACCAAAAACGGGCCGGGCACGGCACGCTTAAAGCAAGCTCCGCTCTGTAGTGGAAATGCACCATATGGCTGCTTGCCAAATCACAAAATGACAATTTCATTCAATTTCATTCAAAAGTTTTCTGTCTGAGGCATATAGACTTCAAGGGGCATCACCAAAAATAAAAAGTTGACTAACAGTTGCTGCCAGGCTACCTTTATGCAGGAAGAAACTGCATTTGTACAGGAACACCTGTGGGCTAAACCATCCCAAGTCCTGATTGGAGACACCACAAAGGACACTTAAGAACGCCAGAACTGAGTTCCCCTGCCACTTTTAGATACCGACCTATACAAATATTGACTAAAAGACCTGGACATAGTGGAAATACAGAAGGAACAGAAAAGTAAGTAGTGACAGATGTACTGTAGAGGTCCCATGTGAAAGCAGCATCAAGGGAAAGAGATGGAAAGGATAAAGTGATACTGGAGGCTGAGGAGAGAATGTGGAAAATGTAAGCCAAAAGTTGTCCAAGTCATAGGGGAGTATGTGCGGCTGTGAAACTACAATCAAGAACGTATGATGTCAGAGTGCCAAACACTAAAACTGGAATCAGAGCTCCCTTAAGATGTTATTAGCGACATATGGGTCTAAAAATCAATGTGAGGGTACTTTCTATTGATTTTTTGGCACTTATCCCTCAGAGATTTTGTGGATGTGCACACTGCAATTCAGCCTACTGAACCATATACCTCCTGGACCTTTAAAACAGAACCTGAGCTTACAGTATGTCATTGAGTGCTGCGGGCCGAAATCATGCACCCTGTCAGAGCTCTCACAATGTTTTCATTCAACAAAACCAATCATTGTATTATGACAGGACAGGATAGTTGATGTTAGATGAAAAAAAGCATCTGGTGAAACTTTATTTAAGGAAAATATGTCCACAAGCTTCAAAAGCCGAAAGTGGAAGTAAGCAGTGACAAGAGATGGCGTTTTAGGGGACTTTGTCATTGCAAATTAGGAGGAAAAAAGGGTAAAAATACTATGTGGGTTAGCCTATGTGTAAGTAAGCCTTGCTCTACTTATGCTGGCGTATAGACCCACAGAGCATCTCTGGTGTCTTTGAAGTGAAACACTTAGGGCTACGAGCAAAGCCTGCTGGACAAGATGCCAGTCCCTCACAGGGCTTACTAACAATCCATCTCTTTTAATGATGAGAGGAAAGCTATACGTTTTTTTTTTTAAGTCTTTAGCATTCCTCATCCACGGATCAAAGCTCAAAACCTAATAGCGATGCGTTTTTCATTGAAGCCTTCATTCTTGGACTTGAGAAGGCTTTGTTATGTGGGGACTAGGATTATTCAGAAACCATAGGCAGTCCATCTCTCTTTTCTAAATCATTCAAGGAACCATCTTGTGTTCCCAACCGTTGGCTCAATATGAACACAGGTTGAGTCCCTTGAGGGGCCACTTTCAACTGGAAGCGCCTGCAGGTACACCTAAGGGTTTGTGGCCTTAGGTACAACATTCAAAAATCACACGTAAACTCACCCTGATAGGTTAGTTTAAACCCTGGTCTGTTCTCTGAATGGTCACTGTAGAAGTGGATGACCGTCAGGTGGGTAGTGCTCAGCAGAAGGGGTGGGATCTGAGAGCCAGTAAACTGTCCAATCAGAGCAGAGCTGTGCTGTGGTCCAGCTCTGACCTCAAGGAAGTCGTGGTTGTCTTCAGAAGAGAAGTTTAGGAACTGAATATGTGCTCCTGGAATACATACACAGATTGTATTAGACTAAAACATATTAAATATATATGATAATAACAGTAAAATGTATCTTTAATGAATGCAACGTAGTTTATTTTGTACATATTTTCACAATCAGTCCCAAGGATACCAAAGATTACCAAAGCAATATAAATTACAAGAATCAAGTCTTTGATCATTAATAATAATAAGCATTAATGAAAGAAGTATGTCATATCCTTTCCACTCAAATCCATTCCATGCCAAAATACATACGTAAAAGGTTTCTTTTCAAACCATCACTTACTCATAAACAGTGGCGAGCCGCCGAATATCTTAGGCCCTAGGATATTCTACAAAATAATATTTAAAAACATTTAAAAAATATATATATATTTAAATATATTTTTAGTTATATTTGTCATTAGTTTTACCATAATAACTTGATTTAATTGTATTTAAAATAACATTTCCAAAGAAATAAATCCTTCAAATCTGCCTATTCAGTTTCTGTTTGAATGTGAAGGGTTAAATGAAAGAAGCTTGTCTCTGCGAGGTGAAGATAGGAGCTGATTGGTGGTCCTGCTATGAATTCACAGAGGGCCCACTATAGTAACTGAACGAAAGAGTAATGTCAAATTACAGTAAAATTGACCAATCATATTTTCCCTCTAAATGGGTGGGTTTTATTATCGCGGACTTTATGACATTCCGCCCACTGTGAAGCTTTTCTTGTTTCCATAGCAACAATAATTTCAAAGAACACAAATTGGGTTATTTACAGGTGTTGTTTTGTGTGGTAGACGGTCGCTTTCATTGATGCGTTTAGCACCCCGGACCGTTGTTTTGATATTCATCTGAAGTATACGCTGTGACGCAATAACTCCTTTTTTTCTTTTTTTTTTGAGGGAAGGGGTGGGGGTCAGAGGGCCTAGGTAAAAAGTCACGGCTCGCCACTGCTCATTAAACAGCATTATAAAGCTTTCAATAAATATTATGTTGCTGCTGCAGATTTGGTGCTAGAAAAAAGTATTTGTTTTCCCAAATAAACCAAGAGATGTACTGAATTCTCTTTATCCCATAATACTTACCATATCCAGTTGGCAGGGTGATTTGCCAGGTGCAGTCCAGGTTGCCGGGATAGTTACCAGGGAAACCCGGACTGAGGATGACACCACTCATCTCAGACAACACCCCGCTGCACCGAGCTGACAACACAGGCCCAGCAAACACATTGTTAAAACAGGCAACACATGAGAAATGTAAAGTGGAGATCATCACTTCATCCCCTCTGCTCTAACAGGAAGAAGGTTACAGAGCTAAAAAACAAGAATATTTGGAATTACAGCAACAAGCAGCAACCTTTGGGATTTGAGTACCCTTCGGTTGGACAGGGGGATTTATTGTATTGACATTTACACTCAGTGGCCACTTAATAAGATATACCTCTACAATCTAATGCAATTCAATACAGCTGTTTGTATTGTACCTTTGCAAAGTTTATAATGTTCCGTTTTTTTCTTGCATTCTCAGTTTAGGTTAAAGACAGTGAACATTAATCCTTCGTAGCAAGTATAATGCATTAGTGGCATACAAATATACATGTAAAACAAACTTGGAGATAACAGAAACATTTTGTTAGTTAATTTGGTGCTACTTGCGTATATGAAATAACATTTTAAAGAGAGAGGATATCATGTTTAAAACTAAAATCTAAATTGTATAGGGGCTTGTACCATGTGTGTTGAATACCTGTATATCCTTGAGAACCGTTAGAGACAGACAGATACATTTTTGATATTATAGCTCCCCATTATGACCGCCAGTGAGCAAACGACTTGAATAACTTCTTCAACAGATTTGATCAGTCATGCGTGTTTTTTGCATTTTGTAAATTGTGTAACTTGCTGCTGTTAAATACCATCCAACTATGTGCAATATGTGCTATATGTGTAATATATACATTATTATATACATATGCCATTAATAACTGTGTAATATATACATGGCTGCTAAATCCTAAGAACTGTTACAGGATTTGTATTTTGAAAAGTATTTTTCTTTACTTTTATTTTTTGTATTATATCATAACTTAGTACTTTTTTTTAAACATATGTAACATTAAGCTGTCTGTGGCTCTTTCCTGCTGTAACGATGCAAATTTCCCCTCTGTGGGAATAATAAAGGTATTCTGATTCTGATTATGACTCACCCTTCTGTTGACAGGTTTAGAAATGATTTAGTTGACGCAAGTCTCTCTGACTAGAATAGGAAATGCTGGATTTAATAAATACTGAAGGAGACTGTGGCTGAGTTTAGTTAGTCCTGACATGTCAAGGTTGAGTTTAACTCGAATTGGCTTCCCAGACCTGCTACAAGTTTTCAACAAACACAAACATCGATGTGATCAAGGTCCCTAAACTCCTTTGAGGAATTAAGGAAGCCTTGGCTCACATAGCAAGCTACAAAATTATGTTTGTATCCAGCAGGTATATTGATCATATCATTTAGGAAGTTGCTTACTTCCACACATCTGATTCCAAGGTTATATATAACTAAACATACCAAATAATTCATATTTAAGAAGTTCTCATTTAATTACAACTATTCATTTATTTGTGAAATATGTAGGTGAATTTACTTTTTTTTTACAGTTTAAAAGATAAACAATTTAACTGGCACTGGTCTCAGTTTCCTATCATGTGTAACGAAGGAATTCCACACAACAACTTGTAATCAAATGACATTAATAAAGAGATTTCTTATCAGCCAAAAAATTGAAAATTAGTAATAAATAAAAGATATTTTCAAAGACTTCTATGTGACAATTAACCTGTAAATGTTTAGTGTTAAGACAGCACAAGCTCACATCTGTAATCTACTGGAATGCTTCAGTCACTTCGCTGTGCAGGACGTAAACGTCTATGTTAACAACACACCTGAAGGACATATGCTTTTCCCCTTGGGTCAATTATTCATAAAACAATTCAGCCAGCAGAGCGTGTGTGTTCTTAGTCAGTGTGTGTTACCTATGCAAAGAGGTGGTGGGTAGTTCCATCGACGCACAGTCCCCGGCATGCAGGAGATGTGAGAGTGGCCCTGGAAGTGTTAAAGGAATAATACACTGGGTTAAGTTTAAAAAAAAGATTTAAGATTTTCTAGGTTTGGAATTTGACTTTTACTTCATTTAGGAGCATGACAACCATTTCATAGTCTGATTAACACATACAGTAGGTGAAAACATTATGCAGCCAATGTGGAAAATGTTATGGTATGTTTGCTAAGGGTTATTGACAGTAGTTTTTGTCCATACACACGTTTTGCTGCCCAATATTACGTTTTTTTTCAAAAAAACAACAACATGAACCAGTTATTATACAATAATCTAAAGTTACAAAGGTATATTATATACTCTTCATGTGTTAATTGGTCATGTTGTGTTCATTACCTGTAATGTGTAGCCAGGCTCACAGGAGAATGCCACCACCTCATTGACCATATATCTGTCTCCTGACTTAATGCCATTGGCTGGTATCATTGGCTCTGGGCAGGTGGTAAGTCCAACAGCTACAAAAAAAAAGGACATAACATGATTATTATGTTTTCCATTTACATTTTCTATGGAAACACCAAGGCTTTGTCAGACATTGACCCATGACATGATAAAAGTAAGCAAAATATGATATGATCATCTCTTCTTTAAAGGTGACCTATCATGCAAAATGCACTTTTGTACGTCTTTTATACATGAATATGTGTCCCCGGTGTTCCAGGGAACTCACCAAGTGTCAGAAAACACAACCCTCTCTATTTTCCTCCATACCCAAATCTCTTAAAAAGGGGCTGCAACAGATCTGATACAGACTGATCCAGATTGGAACACTTTTATGACGTCACAGAAGTGGCGCTACGGCTAATGGGCCAACTCCACCAATCAGGAGGAGACAGCCAGGGACATTGCCGTTCGAAAGTGCTGGAGACGCTGTAGTACATATGCCAGGCCTGTAGATGGTGCTGTTCTCACAGAATCAGCCCATGCAAAGGCACTGTAAAATTGAGAGAAATGAGGAATGGCTAAAATGCATGATGTTTGGTATTTTGAAAAATAAAAAGTATAAATATGCCTTATATAGGTATGGTCCTACACTATATTATTCAAATATAGCATGATAGGTCCACTTTAAGTTCTAGACATCTAAAACCACATTGCTGTCTTGACCTTAATCATCAAAGTAATCATGGAAAATTATATCTTTTTTTATTACACTAAAATCACAGGAAAAATAGATACCCTTTTCTGTTCCCTGCCTTGTCTTTGCTTCAAGATTAATCAAGAAAAACACTTTAAAAGGTCCCCTAGTATACTATTTTTCATCAAGATATTATAGGTCTCAGATATATACAAAACATGTCTCTGAAGTATTTGGCTCCAAATACTAAACAGATCACCCAATGTAGCATCCCATAACCCCCTCTGTTTCAGCCCTGTTTCAAAAGTGCTGATTCTCTGTCTGTTACTTTAGATGAAAATAAGGAGCCACTCCCCACGCCCCTCTGAGAGATATTTGGTTAAAAAGAACACAATGGTTGGTGTGAATGAGGTATGATACCTCATTCACACCAACGCAACTCCGGTTCAAGCTCCGTGCTAGAGCTTTTCAGGTTCAGAACCGGTTCTTCGGTTTAGCTCCGGCTCTTTTCACACTGCCCAGAGTCCAACTGGTGCTGCGTCATTGCGTCATCGTTTGCGTCATGACGTAACCGTTTGCGTGCCTGCTTCATAAAGCCAAACCGCGCGGAAACCCCTCACAGCTGACACCGACAACAACAACAATGGCCGATTGTGCTCCAGCTTCCTCTGTACCTCTTCGGAAGACCAGATTCCCAGTAGGTAGCTGGTTTCTTCAGTGGACCACTGCTGCTTGTTAAGTTTCTCCATCGTTGTGTACAAACTGGATAAAACGCCGGCTTTTTGTTGTTGTTCAGGAGTTGATCCCGGCCCTGCCCCTGCCCCCGCCTCGACGTAAGCCTGACGTGTGCAGTGCTTTTGCTCCAGCCGGACTATTTTTTGGTGCTTGAAACGAACCGGATTCCGGAGCTAAGAGGCTGCTCCGCTGCGGTGTGAAGAGGAAAACCCGGTGCTTTTCAAGCTACAGCTCCGAACCGGCCCTGAAACACCGTTCGTGTGAATGAGGTACAGGAGGAGATTCAGGGGGGAAAGGTGGGGGGGGGTTACCTTGGTTGCTGATTGGCTAATGTTTAAACAAGCCAAAAAATCGTTATGCCCTCTTAAAGTGGCCAAAATCTGATCAGCTCATTTTCAGACAGGTTTTTATATAAATGGATCAGGACAAAAAGTGAGAGAATCTTTTGTCCTGAAACTTTCAGAGTCTCTTTACACAGAGGGGACACATGTTGATGTAGAAAATACATGAACATTTTGATTTTGCACAATAGGTGACCTTTAAAGCATTGCTTTTCCTGTCAGTTGCATGTGGCCTTTTTATTAGATAAAAACAGCAGTTTATCTATATTATATACCACTTGTTAACATCCCACAAGGTTATATTGTATCAAAGTAAACTCAAGTTGTTTAAAACATATGGGAAAAATTATAATATTTAGATACATTTTATGACAAACATAATGTGGCAGATACATTTTAAAATGGTCATAATGTTTTTTCTTTGCCCTAATAAACAAGAGCCTATTTATGAGCTAGTACAATAACAAAGCTTGTATGTCGTCAGCTGTGACAGTGGCCTCTGAAATGTGCTTAAAAATATGTGAAGGTAACATAATGACTTTGGTTGTGTATTCCCAACGCAATAAAGGTTAAACACATCCTTAATAAGTTTGACAGCAGCCCGCCCTTCATCAAACAGTTTGAGTAGGGGTGTATCTGTGTGTGTGTGTGTTTCACTTGAAAACTTCCGCAGGAGACTGCCCTAGAGCGGTTTCCATGGCAACACAGGGGTGGAAGAGGGATAACGAGAAAAAGAAAGAGAGAGGAGTGAATGCTCGTGTGTGTGTGTGTGTGTTTGCTTGTGTGTCTCTTCTTGTTGATTCATTATCTACCTTCCTACCAGCAAAACAATGTGATCCCACTGAGCTCACACGCACACACACGCAAACAGACACACACACAAATCCAGGTGGCCCAGCCCCAGCATATGACATTTGCGAGCATGTGTGCATGACTGACTGTTACATGAGTGTGTGCTTGCTGCGAGGGGATGAGGGGGACTTTCGAAAAGATGGAGCATAAGTGAAAAGGCTGCATGAGACTGTGACTTTGAGACACACACCCATGAACACACAGTGTGTTATTAGGTCGAGCTTCAGCAGGCTGTCAGGACAACTGATCAATGAAACTATTCCATTTGGCTGACCATCTCTTTCTCTCTCTCTCTGTGCAAGCAAACGGCTACTTCTTTTCCCTGGTTATGACAGAGCAGTGATGCCCTGTAAAATGCTGACTATATCACAAAACACCCCACTAGGGCCACTACACTACAACTAGATAGCGTCAGCACTTAAGTCTAACTGACTGGATTTACTATACTTCTGTTTCAGTTTATTTGAAGACAGTCAGGGGAGAGAGATGGCTCACTCTAGCTTCAGAGGAAAGGCCCTTTGGTCAGCTTAAAACAATAAGAGCATCATCACCACAATCATCCTCGGCTCCCCAGCAGATGGTGTTGCCCACTTATACTTATACTTCAAAACTGACAAGGAGAATCCTAACAGGACATCAGATACATGTGCGGTCTTGTTCTTTCTGTTTCTACAGGAAACACAATGGAAAACAAAGACAGTACAGTGAAAACAACGTGAACAGCAGTGTGCTGAAAGGCTCTACAAATAATTACATTATTCCAGGTTTTCGAGTTGACATTACAATTATTTATTATGAAAAAGGGAAGTGCAATTTGTTTTAACTAAAGGGTTTGCTATGAGAATTAGCATAGACAATTATCTGAGGGCAAATACTAATGTGGGCTGATCTTATCACCTATTGAATTGGTAAATTGGCCGACCTTGGCAAAATGTCGTGTTTAATGAAAAGTTAAAAGCCTACTTTGTGGAGAGACCTCCGGTTAAGAACCTCTAAGGCAAACGTGGAAAAAATTGGGCGACAGATTAAAGAGTTGGCAGTCATTTTGAGATAAGCAAAACCATCATCTGAGTCCTGCAAGTGCTGCATATGGCAGTGTAAAGTTTGAAATCTAATTTTAAAGGGGATATTGGAAAAAGTTCTGAGCATGCTTGGTTTTGTAATAACATGGCCTGCCTGCTGACTAACATTATGAAACATCATAGATTGTGTTGATTTCTCCACAAAATAGCAGACATTGACTCAAACACAAAGGCAAAAACACCCAAATTACCCATTACATATACGCTTTACATACTTTAACATGTGTTTGGTTTATTTAAAAAGAGAGACCCTATATCAAAAAGTACAATCAGACCTGATTTCAACCGACCAAAATTGCGAGAGAACCCCAACGGTGGCGGCATCAAATAAAAAAGGACTACGGAAAAAAATACAAAAGAGCCATACATGTCCACTTTTTTGTCCTGTTATAATGATTTGTCATGTGATCAGAGCTCATACAGAGTTAGCTCAGACTCTGTTAGATATTAAACATAGTGGCACACAGACCCAAGTCCTACACAGCCTTATTTAGACTGAATATAATATATCATTGAACTGAGCCTTAGTCAGGTCTCAGATTGGGTTTTTGTTACAAAGCACAGAGAGTACCCATCCAAACCTCTCATCACAACTTTCCTGTGAGCACTCTTCCACCCCAAATCCTCTCTGCATGGACAATGTGGGACATGAAGAGAAAGAAAGCCTAAAAAGCCCCAAAGTCTGCCACCTGCTGTGCTCTCAATTCAGTTATACATTTGTGCAGGCCTGAGCTAAATAAATGCTAAAATAAAAAAGATTGGCTGAGGATTATTTATGATACTGTACAGGGAGTTCAAATGTAATGTAATGGATCTGGCACATCCAGTTATAAAAGCCACACTAAAAAGCTGAGAGTAATCGCAAAAGAAATAGAAATGATGAACTGTCCCTAAAAATGACCACTCTTCCAGGTTCTCATTCCTAGTGATGGCATGTTGACTAATAGAGCCAGAAAAATACAGACCATGGACCCACAAACATGTGCATTCACCTACACACAGACACACAAAAAATGTGCGTTCAAACACACACACTAATGCTCTCTCACATACTCACAAACGGGGACATGTTCATTGAGCTAGAAGTGATTCTAAGCTAAAACAACTACAAAGGACTGAAAAGCACAACCGTGACCTGACAGGTGTGTACGTGTTTATATGCATGACGTTAATATCCATGTCTATACCTCTGTTTGTCTACACATTTGTGTGTGCGTATCTGCCTTTTTTTGGACATGTGTGTGTATGGCACAATCACAACTTGTGTATGTACGTGTCTCAGTCTGTGTGCTCCCCTTTACGTCCCTCTAGGTGTGTGAGCTGTGTGTGGGCTCCGATTTGGGTCTCAGTATGTGTTCATGCTTCAGGGCTGTACCAGTTCAGGTCACTGACTCTTGTTATTTGATGTTGAAGTTTTGGTGGAAACGGTGTATCGTGAGTGTGTCTGTCCGTGGGTTTTATGTGCATTGTGGTTTACCTATCTACATGTGTGTCTAGATGTGTGTCTATATAGTGTCTGTCTATCCATCTATCCATCTATCTATCTATTGATCTTTCTATCTATCTATTGATTTTTCTATCTATCTATTGATCTTTCTATCTATCTATCTATTGATCTTTCTATCTATCTATCGATCTATCTATTGATCTTTCTATCTTTGTTAAAAGCTTTAACTTACTCTTGTATTCTAGGTGAAAACCAGCTGCCACCACACTGATGTCACTCTGAAAGTGCAGAAGGAGCTGATTGGACGTTGAATTGAGGAGAGCGGGAGCAGTTGTTCCTGTGAAACACAAAGACAAACGTAAATGACAGAATATGAAACAAGAACAGCAACGTTTGGTAACACAACACAGGGAATAAATAAGGACAATTACATTTAAAAAATATTTTAATGCTTTGAATCAAGACTTGCTGGTTTGAGTATTGTTTGAAGCTTGTAAATGATGTGTGGAGAGGGTGAGCGACCCCGCGCCCTCTACGGACAGCTAGCATTTTAGTGTCCTTATGTGAAGCATCCCTCATCTGCACCGGCGAAGCAGCTCAGAGGCCGACCGCAGATCATTGTGGTTATAGTGGGCAGCTCCCTAGTGTGCTTCCTTGAGAAGGGCACAGTCATTTGTGAGTGTGTGTGTGTGTTGCCCTATGGGCGGCATGTTTAATGTGTGATAGGTGTGTGACAGGTATGTGCTCGGGGCAGGTCACAGGGGAAACTCCTTTGGGAAATTGTAAAAGGTTAGATCATTCTTTATCCCTCGCTGTCTTCTTCCTCTCCCCTTTTCTCTTCGATCCTTCACTCAACCTTGTGCTAAAACTCTTTCCCTCCCACTCTCATTTCTTGTCCTTCTTTTACTGCCAGAATGTCTGACAAATTATAAGTATTTTTTAATGTTTGTTACTTATTAGAGATATATATCATGTTTTTTGGTATTACAAATCATCCATCATAAATCTCTGGTTTGTGCTGTTTGTGTGTGTGTGTATCTATAGTTGAAGACCTGTCATGTGCAATTCATCATAGATCTTGTGTGGGTATCTCTGTCAATCTATGTGTGTGTGTTTGTGCATCTATAGTTTAGGAGCTGTCAAATCTCATCCATCATAGATCTCTGGAGTATTTGTGTGCATGGGTGTTTGTGAGCTTGCGTGTATGTGTGTGTGAGCATATTGTCATACCAGAAAATGACCCTAATTTAGGAGCTGTCATGTCTCCTCCATCGTAAATCTCCAGAGAATCCCAGTTGTGCTCAGTAGCGAACGTAACCACTTGGATCTATATCGAACAAAGACATGGACTTAACAACCTTAGCTCATGCACATCTCACATAGATGTTTTAATAGTTTATTTATAAGTGTATTCATATGTGTACCTGTATCCCGGCCCCTTCACTGACATGGATCCTCCACAGACAGTTGAGGCTGTTTGGGTAAGATTCAGGATAGGCAGGAGAAAGGACTGTACCGCGACGTTCAGTCAAATTGCCACTGCAGGGAACTAGAATGGAAACATGAAATATGAATTCCTTGGCAAAGTGTATTAACTAAATAGCTAAAAGATAGGACAGCTTGTTAGAACAATTGCTCTGCATACCCTGAAACAATGTGGTGATCAACATTACCACAACAGTGAGCCAGAGAGAGAAAATATGATAAACATTGTTTATGGTTTAATCTAAGGTGACAGTTGAAAGCTGTTGGCAACAGGCCTCTACTCAGCAGGGAGGAATTTCCTGCAGTCATACATTTAGTGTGTTGGAATGAATGTCACCCTAGCCCTAATAGCACAGGATGATACATAGACAGGACGGATTTCATACTGTATATCATGGGTCGGCAACAGGCGGCCCGCGGGCCATTGGTGGCCCGCCAGCAATAACATTTGGCCCGGAAAATTATTTTAATAAAAATAAAATATTATTTTGAGATTCTTTTTTTTTTTTACAATATCGGACCGACAGTCACATATATAGGCTATAATGTCCGAATAGAGAATCTACCTACACCTGAAGAATGCTTATTGTACTTTTATCCACGTTGAGAGTGAATGACACTATGACATTATTGTTGTATGTTTTAAGTGACTGACCCCAGGAAGAGTAGCTTTTGTCAAGAGCAAAAGCAAATCCTTAATAAACATAAACATAAACACACAGCACAGGCACAATCTGGCAGCGGGGTGCACTGACGCTGATAGTGGATCAATGAGTAGGTGGGTAGCGCGTGGTGCTGAAATAGCCAACATGCGGTTTGTGGTTTGAAAAAAATAACACCAGCTCACTAAATCATTCAAACGTAATTTTTACTTATATATGAACAATAACAAAGTTCAGTCAAAACATTGACAACAAAATCGGAGAAGCCACTTGATCATGGAGGGCGAGGGGTGCATATGCTGCCGCCCCAGTTGGCAGCTTTGTTTTGAAAGAAAAGTTTTGGCTCATTGGACATATGAGAAAATCCCTAATGTCCGAGTGCAAGTGAATGCAGCACAAGACGTGAGCCTTGTAACCCCTCCCCCGGACCTGGCGCGAGCACGGAAATGTGATTGTCATTTGAACGGGACGGCGCAAAACGAGAAGCATTCGGTCTACAATGACAGAGAAGAGACTGTCTAGTTTGGCTGTACTCAGCATTGATTCAAAACGCACTAAAGCTTTGGATCTTAATAAGTTGGTGAGCAGTGGAGGACTGGCCATCTGTAGAATCTAGAGAATCACAAAACGGCACCGCAGCGAGGCTCCCCCCCCCCGTTGACAGTTCACTAGCGCTCCCCCCCCAAGCATTCGAACGTGTAACCTGTTTTAACAATCAATTATTTAAATAAGCCTTTAATTATGTTCCGGCCCGTCATCTGGTGGCTCAGAAAAAAATTGGCCCAAGGCCATACTTACTTGCCGACCCCTGCACAACATACATGTCAAACTCAAGGCCCGTGGTGGATTTTATTGCGGCCCGCAGGATAATTTCTAATCACTATTAGATCTGGCCCGCCGGTATATTGCACGCACACCTTCACTCAACCCTGAGGATTTCCTCAGCTCAGAGCCTGAGTCCAAACATCGATGAACTTGTACCCAAGATGAGATGCCAAGTATCTGCTTGAGCTAGCATCACAGAGCAGTACACTGAGTTTAAAGGTGGGGTATGTAAGTTTCAGAAACCGGCTCGAGATACACTTTTTGTTATATTCCATGGAATGCTCTTAACATCCCGATAGCAATGAATATCTTGGCAATGAATCGGCCCGTCGATTTACCTAACCACGCGTACGAAAAATGTCATGATGCCGAAGGTGTCTCTCGTGAAAAAATTACCTGAAAAACAG